CCCTGCCGTTTCAGCCATTTTCTATATTCGGCCACAGAAGAGATTTTTTCGCCATGGAAATCCATGTTTAAATTCGGTTGGGTTGGGATCGGGGGGATATTGGCCCTGAACCGAGTAATTCTTTCATAGAAGTTTCGTTGTTTCTAAAGAAACATGGTTATAAATTGCATAGTAATAACGGTAGGTTTGGAAATAAATGCGTGGAACTAGACTTACTTACCTGGTCCATGAAAACCCGTAAATTGGGATATCTCGATGAGTATAGATATTTTCCCGTCATCGATCCGGCAACAAATGAGGTCACTGTGCCGCCAAAAGTCCCGAGGATAATCATTWGCATGGGATCCATACCAAAGATTGTCATGGTTGGGTCAAAAAGCGGCTGGGAAAGCAGGATGGTCTCACATACAAGGAAAAGAAATGCCGAAGGAACACCGCACGCCATACCAATTCTTTTGAGCTTTGATCGAACTGTAAAAAAGTCATTCCACGAATGCAGTGAGGAAATGGAAGGTGCAGAGCCAAGCCTTCTAATAGATGCGGATTGCCAAAGCATTTTATTGAATTTTTAAAAAGTCGACATTTTATTTGTAGACTCAATGTCACCTCCTTCTCTTTCTCTTCCTCCGTTGGCTTCAGCTGTCCGTTCGCATGTTGAATACAGCCTTGTAAATGAACCAAAAAAGTATAAGCTTGTCTTTCTCGGGGATTCGAATGGTTAGATATCATTTTTTATTGAGTTCTTAGTCGGAAAGACTTCAATTATCTCTCGATTTGCATATGATGTTTTCGAGGAGGAATACCAAGTAATGGCGATAGTTTTGCTAACCTCACAGGCCACCATAGGAATTGATTTTCTTTCGAAAACAATCTTCTTAGACGATAGAACCGTTCGTTTACAGCTTTGGGACACTGCAGGCCAAGAGCGTTTCAGATCCCTGATACCCTCTTATATTAGAGATTGCGATGCTGCCATAATTGTTTATGATCTTTCAAGTTAGACACTTTTCGGTTTACCTTTTCAAGATAGATTTTCGTTCGAGCATGTTGATACTTGGATGAAGGATGTGATTTCCGAACGCGGTACGAGAGTCAAGCTGTTTCTTGTCGGGTCAAAACAAGATGCCAGTCCCATAAGGTTGGCGGCTTTATTTGGTGAATTTTATGTAGGGAAGTTAGTGTCGAGGAGGCGGAGCAAAAGGCACATTTTTATTCTGCCAGCTTCCTGGAAGTCAGTGCACTTACAAATGATAACATTGCGCTACTTTTTAGAACGATTGCCGCAAATTTACCTATCACGTCTTCATCAGCCGGCGCTAATAGTATGGAAAGCCCCTCTCGCCATCATAGTATGGACCGTAATTTAACCGCCTTAGCCATCGATATGATGAACATAAAATCGACATCTAGCCTCTTGGACCCAGACTCCAAGGCAAGCTCCTCAAAGTGTTCGTGTTAGAAAGCAAATAAAATTGAGCTATTTACACTATGTATGACGATGATGATCCTGTACGCTACTCAAAGATCGCAACCCTTCACACAGGTGTGCGTTCAACAGACGACGGCCATGGATGGATTTCTAAACATACCAACCCTAAAAAGCCTCCATCAAATAGAATGCGAGCATTAAAACAAGGGCGAAAAGATTTGATGGATGTGTTTATTCACATAAATAGCTATCTGAGACGACGAGCTTCGCGTTCAGACTCAAGAAGCACAAGAATATCTTCCTCTCTGGTAGGTCCCTTTACGTTTCTGATAATAGAACGGTTATTTTCACCATAAAGCACATCGGCTCTGACTTGCGTTACACCGCCTCTAGATCCGGTTCTTCCAAGGACTTTGGTAACTTTGGCATATATCAATGGATCCTATGCGTAAGTATGGGGCGAAACAAATGGCATTGAAAAATGGATGAATCTGAGAAATGCAAAGGATTCTGTGTTTCACCTACCATTTTGGTTATAAAAATACTCTGAAATTCAAATTAAATAAAATTTAATGTCATCAATATCATCGACAAACTATTTGTCCCAGTTAAGAGCTGCCCTGGGACATAGCCTTGCACTCCGTTCCTTTTCCTCCGCTAGCGTGGAGCGCCACAACAAGCCTGAAATAGAGATCCCGTAATGTTCGTTTATAATTCTAGATCCTCGCCATTTACTATCCTCGAGCCTATTAAGATCTATAGAAGTGATTCGGAGTATGTTTTAATTGAGAGGTCCATAAATTCGGCTCGTATTTCGTTTAAGCTTAAACAAGCGGATGAAATTGAGCGGTTTTTAGTGCTGAACTTTTCTCGATTCTTGATGCATCGTGCAGAAACCCTATTGGTTATTAGGCGTGTTGCCGTTAAGGTACAGCATCTTCGCTTTATAGGTGTAGGGATATGACATTAGCTTTCTTGTGACCAATACACATGTGGAGGAAATGCTCCGCTCAAAGCTGGTCGATTTTTTCTGCTATTTTTTGGAGTCTGTAGACAAGGAGATCAGCGCGATGAAGATAAGCGTAAACTCTCACGCCCGATATGCAGCCGAAGAGTTTTTAAAGCAGGTAGGGGGGCGCTCTTTTTTCTAGTTTTCGTCTTAGAAGCTAATAAACAGATGTGAATGAATGTTTTATTTAAAGTGGCTCACGTTAAGTTGTGCGAGTACGACCGAATGCAACAAACGGAAGTAATGAAGAGAAAAGTGGCCATACCGAGCTGGAAATTTGGTGTTTTATAGAATGGAATTGAGGTTGGCTGTTTTTTACCACGGCCTTGACTGGCTCCCTCGTTTTCTGCCATCATCATTCCCTCTTGAGACATGAGAAACCGAGAAAAAAGTTCAAGCTGTTCCGAAGACGTTGGGTCCATTTAAAAATAAAAATATCCAATTGCCGAATTTTAATTTTAATGCCTAGTGACGAGGAGGGCCGATCTTCCTCTCCTAATGCCCTATTTAAGGAGCCGTTAAAAAAGCGTCTATCTTCAGACGACATAGACATGAACGACGAAAAGGTAGCATCGTCTTCATTCCAATCGCAAATGATTCATTTGCCATTGAAGAAGCAATATATGCAAGAACATCATTTATCATCTCCAATAAGCCAGTCCATTGCCAAGCTCCCCTCTTCCCCGATCCGAGCCGCACCACTTACAATTGATATCGATGACTCTGTAAATATGGCGTTAGATATTGATGCGCCTATTGAGACGCCCGCTATCAAGGAGACTCCTCCTATTAAAGAGGCACCCTCGACACACACAAAGACACAAGTTCAAAAAGGGAAAGCACAGCAGCATACTAAGGCTTCATCATCGGCGTCATCAGTTAAGCATCAGCATCCTGAAGAGGTACACCATCATTTTTACGTCAAGGACCTGGAAAATTTCCCATATCATGACGAGGTCGAGTCGTACAGAAAACGAGCTCTATGGCTTCAATACAGCTGCTATAAACAAAAATACTCGGAAATTTACGGACAGTATGGGGAGTTGAGGGACAAATATTCTCTCGTATGCTCTCTGCTTCGCCAGTGTATTAACGATTCGGAATCCCTTTCTGAGGGTAAGTGCTTATGTTCAATTTATTTGTAGCTTTGCAAGAAAAAGTGGATCAGGTTTTATCGCCAGCGTCTTCATGGTTGACGTGCATTAAAGATCCCACCAATTCATTCTTATTGGAAAAAGTTGT